TGGTTCTTCTACTTCTCTCCCTATCTTGCTTGAAATCCATTTTCTCTCTTTTTGCTCAAGTTGTTCAGGTTTTTAATGGTCTAATACAACTAAGGAATGAAACACAAGAACATGATAAGAGGGGACATAAGGTCTAGATCCCATCTAAACCTAAACTAATATTTTACCAACACATGATGCCAAAAGAGAGTAACATGGTTCTCTAACTCATGCATGAGTATGGATTCGGTTTTGGTACTTAAAATGGCTGAAAAAAACTTATCAACTTCGTTTTTGATGCTTACTAAAAGGATTGAGAAGAAAATAAATTTTACGGAACCGAAATCGGACTTAAAATCCGACAATAATTGAAAACCGAAGAATTTGACGACAATCAATTTTTCCTGTTCTAATTCGGTTTTTATGGATAAAAATACTATTACATAGATGGTAATATAATAGTCTTAAGGTCTTGTTGACTCGTTTTAATGTTCGGGTCGCAAGGGTTCTAAAACAAATTCAAACGAACAACAATTCGGCTTACGCGATTAAACCGAAAATTCAAACGACGATTGATAAAATAAAATCGAACGAGCTATATAATCACAGTATCCATATAATAATATAAAATATAATCTCGAAATTAAGATTCGATAAATAGAATAATCCGAGAAATTCTATAAATCGAACGGGGCGCTACAATCTACCCACCTTAAAAGGAATTCCGCCCTCAGAATTCGAAAACAAAGCAACTAGAGAGCACTAAAAAAAATATACCAAGGGAAACTCAAAACATGAAGTTCGGATAACGCCTCCTAATATCGTCCTCATTTTCCCATGTCGCCTCGGATTCGTCGTGTCGACTCCACCGCACCTTCACTAAACTCACTGCCCGGTTTCTCAGCTGATGGACCTTCCGGTCCAAAATGGCTGCCGGTACCTCCTCATAAGTAAGGTCTCGCTCGACCTGCAGCTCGCCGAAGTCCACCACATGGTCAGGATTATGCACATATCTCCGCAACATCGAGACATGAAACACATCGTGCACCCCCGACAAATCTGGTGGTAAAGCTAGCCGATACGCCAAGTCCCCGACTCGAGCAAGGATCTCAAATGGCACGATATAGCGAGGTGTAAGTTTCCCCTTCGTCCCGAAGCGAATCACACCCTTCATGGGTGAAACTTTCAGGAAGACATGATCAACGACTGCATACACATGCTCTTGCCTCTTCCAGTCGGCATAAACCTTCTTCCTCTCCTGGGCAGCCCTGATGGTCTTCCGGATCTCCTCAACTGTCGCTGTAGTACTCTGGACAAACACCGGACCCATAATCCTCCTCTCTCCAACCTCATCCCAATATAAAGGAGTCCGGACCTTCCGTCCGTACAAAGCCTCGTACGGGGCCATCTTGATCGAAGAGTGGTAGCTATTATTGTAGGTCAGCTCGACTAACGGAAGGGCATACTCCCAAGTTAGGCTCCGATCCAAGACCACAGCCCTCAAAATATCCTCCAAGTACTGGATTGTTCGCTCCGACTAACCATCTGTCTGAGGATGAAAAGCTGTACTGAACTCCAACATCGTCCTCATGGCTTGGTGCATAGTCTTCCAGAACTGGCCAGTGAACTTCGCGTCTCAATCAGACACGATCTCCACAGGCACTCCATGAAGCTTAACGATCTCAGCCACAAACAACTCGGCATACTCACTAGCCTTCATAGTCGTCCGGACTGGCAGAAAGTGGGCACATTTCGTAAGGCGATCCACAATCACCCAAATAGAGTCATGCCCGGTCCTCGACCTCGGCAATCCCACCAAGAAATCCATTGTGATGCTCTCCCACTTCCACAGGGGAACCTCAAGGGGCTGCAACAATCCTCTCGGTTTCTGGTGCTCAGCCTTCACTTGCTGACACACCAGACACCCATCCACGAACATTGCTACCTGCCTCTTCATGCCACGCCACCAGAAAGACTTCCCCAAGTCCTGATACATCTTCGTGCTACCAAGATGGATGGTGTACGGGGCACTATGGGCCTCTCTCAAAATCTCCCTCTGCAGTTCCGACGCTTTCGGAACACAAAGTCTACCTTCGAAGAGTAATGCTCCGTCGGTTGCGACTGTGAAACCACCTATCTGACCGCTAGACGCCAAATCCCTCATTCGGCAAGGAAAACGATCATTCGGCTGCTCAGCGACTATTCTCTCCCGAAGAGTTGGTCCCACGACCAAAGTGCTCAACATACCACCGGCCATCGAAGTCGACTCCACTGCCTCTAGCTATAGCCGCTCGAACTCCCGAAGAAGGACATCTTGCTCAGTGAATAAGCAAGACAGCTGGCCATAACTCCTCCGACTAAGGGCATCGGCTACCACATTATCTTTCCCAGGATGGTAGCTAATGGTGCAGTCGTAATCCTTGACCAACTCCAACCACCTACGCTGCCGCATATTCAGCTCCTTCTGAGTGAAGATGTACTTCAGGCTCTTATGGTCTGTGAAAATCTCACACTTCCCTCCGTAAAGGTAATGCCTCCAGATCTTTAAAGCGTGAACCACTGCGGCTAACTCTAAGTCATGAGTGGGGTAGTTCTGCTCGTGAGACTTCAACTGCCTCGAAGCATAGGCCACAACTCTCCCCTGCTGCATGAGAACACAACCCAAGCCCATCTTCGAAGCATCACTGTAGATAGTAAACTCCAAAGTAGGGTCGGGTATGGCCAAGACGGGCGCGGTAGTGAGTCTCCTCTTCAACTCTTGGAAACTCTCCTCTTACTTTGAACTCCATTCAAACCTCACGGCCTTCTTTGTAAGGTTGGTTAGTGGCTGAGCTATCTTCGAGAAGCCCTCGATAAACCTCCTGTAGTATCCTGCTAACCCCAGAAAACTACGAACATCAGCGGCACTTCTTGGCGTATCCCACTTTCTCACTGCCTCAATCTTGCTGGTATCCACCTCAATGCCTCGAGCTGTCACAATGTGGCCAAGGAATGACACACGGTTCAGCCAGAATTCACACTTCGAAAACTTAGCATACAATTTCTCGCGGCGAAGAGTCTCAAGCACAATCCGAAGATGCTCCTTGTGCTGATCGATATCTCGAGAATAGACCAAGATGTCGTCGATGAACACGATGACAAACTGGTCCAGGAAAGGATGAAAGACCCTATTCATAAGGTCCATGAAAACGGCTGGGGCATTGCTAAGTCCGAACGACATTACCACAAACTCATAGTGGCCATAGCGGGTACGGAAAGCAGTCTTAGAAATATCCGACTCTCGGATCTTCAGCTGATGATAGCCAGAACACAAATCAATCTTTGAAAAGACACTGGCTCCCCTCAGCTGGTCGAAAAGGTCCTCAATGCGGGGAAGGGGATACTTGTTCTTGACTGTAAGGGCATTCAGCTCCCGATAGTCAATGCACATGCGCATGGATCCGTCTTTCTTCTTCACGAATAAAACGGGCGCTCCCCATGGCGAAACACTCGGCCGAATTAAACCGAGTTTAAGGAACTCCTGGATCTGGGCCTTGAGCTCTTGAAGCTCTTTTGGCGCCATATGGTAAGGGGCCTTAGAAACGGGGCTGGCTCCTGGGACTAGGTCAATGGTGAACTCGACTTGGCGGTCGGGTGGTCCTCCGGGTAGTTCATCAGGAAAAACATTGAGATACTCACAAACAATAGAAACTCTCTCAGAAGTCCGCTCAAAATCATCCTCGGACACCATAGAAACAAGATAGCCTTGACAGCTACCCTTAAACAGGATCTTCCTAGCTTGCATAGAAGATATATCTCGAGGCACAGTCCTCGACTTCACACCAAAGAATACGACAGGCTGATCAGGATCGGGAAAGAGGGTGACTTCGTGCTCCTGGCACCGGATATTGGCTCGGTAGCAAGTGAGCCAGTCCATGCCCAAGATCACATCGAAGTCTCGCATTTCGATCACATAAGCATCAACAACCAGAACTCGCCCACCGATAGAAATAGGAAAATCATGAACCAAGGAATCAGAGATAATAATTTTTCCCGAGGCTAGACTAACCTTGAGAGGATCGACCTTGCACACCTCGCTAAGAGTTAAAGCCTCCAGGCATCGAGAAGATATAAATAAATGGGTGGCTCCGGTGTCACATAATGCAAAAACAAGCACATTGAATATAGAAAGCATTCCAGACATGGTACCTGCGTTGTTGGCCGCCTCGTCATAAGCAATGGTGTAGACTCTGGCCTGACCCCTAGCCTTCTGCTGAAATGGTGGGGGTTGCTGCTGCTGATGATGGGGTGGCGGTGGGGGAAGCTACTGCTGGTGCTGCTGGGGGAAGGGCTGCTGCTGCTACTGTCTCTTCGGATCGGGGCAAACATTAGCATAGTGCCCTAGACGGTTGCAGTTGAAACATGAGCGCTGGTTCGCGAGGCACTCGCCTCCATGGGACTTGCCGCATCTCAGGCAGGTATGGTTGCCGGTGGGGCGATTATCGCGATGACCGAAATTCCCCTTCTTTCCCTTCTTTTTGTTCTGAAAGTCAGACTTCCTCTTGCCCGAGCTGGAGCTGGGCGGCACAGAGGTAATAGGCTGGGCATACTGAACAACGGTCTGAGAAGGCTGGGAGGCATGAATATATGAAGGGACTGGAGCTATCGGAATGAGACAGCTCTCCACCTTCTGAGCCCGACTCACAGTGTCGGCGAAAGACATCAATCCGTGACTTTCCACCAGTTCACGGATCCTCTGATTGAGCCCCTTAAGAAACTTGCGGGCCTTCTTGGCATCGGTATTCACCGAGTTGCCAGCAAAAAGACACATCCGGGTGAAAGTGCGAACATACTCGTCCACGGTGGAGCTGCCCTGCTGCAAATGGTAGAACTCATGTTCCATCCTATCCCAGAAACTCTGGGGAAGGAACTTGTCGTGGCACATCGTTTTCATCTGCTCCCAAGTGAGAGCATGAAGCTCCGCCTCTAGCTTCCGAGCCCAGTGGTCAATCCACCAGTCAGAAGCGTCCTCCTTCATCTGATAAGCTGCGAGTGATACACGCTGTCGGTCCGGGAGAGGAAGTAGAGCGAAAATCTTATCCAGCTCTTTAATCCATTCCAGTACTGCAGTGGGGTTCTCAGTCCCCGCGAAAGTCGGTGCATTCATTCTCTGAAACTGGACTATGAGTTGGGTCAAGTCCATGGCCGGAGGGGCCTGGTGATAACGAGGAGGCGGGGAAGGAGACAGAGATAGCTGACGGTTACGATTGTTGCGGGTATTCATAGCTCTACATGGAATAAGTCGAACAATGTTTAGCACAAAACAACAAGAAAATCATGATTCCAGAAGTCCAGAGTTTGCCTTTAAACACTAGAGTTCGATTAAATCAAGGTGGAAAGATCCTAAGCCCCAAAAATAACAATACTCTACACAAATAGTCTCATTGTTACATGTGTACAAATTCACAATT